AAGTTGAAACTTGTTACTAAGTTATTTAACTTTGTCATTTTGATAAAATATGGTTATAGAATGTTTGAAAAACAAGCTTATTTGTAATGAGTAATTGATAGTGTGTAAATGTGTTTTAATATCAGTGTATTACATAGTTTATGAGAAAGGTGCTTCATGTTTAATTAACCTTATCATGATGACATAAGAACAACAATCCTACACTCTTCAGTATATATTTTTGTTGATGAGATTAGCTATGACTTTGTATAGATGTGTATATATAATACAAATTACAATCATAAATAAACAGTAAACTTCATTTTGTAGTTACTATTACTGAGGAAATATATAATAAATGCTGTTTTTTATGCATGCACTGAACTTGGTAAGTTTCTGTACATCTTAGGCAATTTACAAGCATCTGTTGCTGTGAAGTGGGTTCTCTTTTAACTAAATAAGACACTCCTGTGAAAGAATAGCAAAGAATATCAATCTGCTTTGTATTAATAATTCACTGGGGTAATTTTTTATTCTACAAATTCCAACAATGATTTGGAGTTAGTTACCATATGCTAGTATTAGCACCTGTAGTTTAAAGAAATTGTTCATTATAATTCTAGAACTTAATACTGGGTACAAGTATCCATAGAAACAGGAAATTAAACATACTGCTTGGAGCAGATTTAGTAATTCAGCCAGAAACAGTTTATTTTTAGTTTTTAATTATAATTTTTCATAATAACACTTCAACAAAAGTTGTATTTTTTTTTTTCCCATGTCTAGAAACAGACTAGATGAAATGTTAGACTACTTTTTAAAAAAAAAATGCTTCAGCTGGCAGCTTCATTTTTCCAAAACTGAATTCTAAATTACAACATAAGTACTTCTGAACTTTACCACTAGATAATAGTGGAAAATGTTCTTTATGGTATTGACAATTATCATTTTTTTTGTCATTGAAATATAAAAATAAGTTATTATAATGTTTAACAAAACAAAGGGGTGGATAATGGAAACATTAAACCATGTCTCTGTTCTTTTTAGTTGTATTCAAGTTAAAAAATGCATGTAAAACGACTATTTTTTAAACACTCATGTTTAGGTGAAATAAAGAGAGAGAGAGAATGACTAGATCTGAAAATGTATTGAACCTATCAGAGTTATGAAGTATTTTAAGTACACAATAGTATCTAGTTTTCAGCTCTATGCACTACAATACTTACATATATAGCATTTCAAGTCAAATACAGACCCAGAAAGGTAACATACAAAATTATTATTTATCTGAAAAGCAGAGAACAGTAAGTTTATTTTGACACACACTATGTTTAATAGAGGCTTATGGACAATCACTTTTAGTTAACTACAGTGCATAAGAACAAATACTTGAAGTATAAAGGTGAAAATTTAGAAACCACAGTTAATTTAAGTAAGTGGTGGGCTACACGTCATTAGCTACAAGACCCCCTTTACCAATCATAAGTCAAATATTATATATTTGAATAAAAATGAGCTATAAATGAAGCATATTTTAGGATGCAGGGAGGCCTCAGGAAATCACATGCAGCTTTTGGGTTGTTCACCACTGTTCTAAGCATATTCATTAATAATATATAGTAATTAATACTGTTAATTGGCTTTAAACTTCAATTATACAAAACTTTAGATCCAAAATAGTCTTAAATGATAAAAGTGTGTAGTTGAATGAACATACTTTATAATTCCGATTTTATTTACACAGGTTACACCAAACTAGCTTATTAAATCACCCTAATAGTGGTCTGTTCAGTCGTTGTGTTAATTGGCCACCATGGGGCTACTTGAGTAATCTAAGAACTGACCATTGTCCAATTGGTTCACCTACATGAATTATACTGCATACCTTCTCTAACTATTTGGCTGAAATAGCTGTGAGAAATCGAAAATTTGACACACGTTTTGGTTCATTTCCACTTCTAATTACGAAGTAGAATGACCACTCTAGGTTTCTTCAATAATTAGATTAGCTGAACAACAAACGTACGTCTAGAAGTCAAAACTCGTGTACCTGTTCCCAATAAAGAAAATTTTATGAAGCACCAGTATGTATTAATTTACAGTGTATTATATTTTTGATTTTCTATATCATTCCAAATCCTTCGGATCCTTCGTTGATAGCAAACCTTAAGGCGCTTTCAAATTGTTGGTAAGAGTCATAGTCTGGTAGGCACAACTGGTTAAAGCTATAAAGAAAAACAAATTTAATGTAGCAAGAGTCACAGATGTTACTGAAATACCTGTTTATAAAAAATAAAAAAATCACTAAACTTCTCTAATGAACTGACATTGCTGTTTTGACTTAAATTTCAAATAGAGGATGTATACAGATCTTTATACATTTGATAAAGTTTGATTTATCATGTAAGATCTGTAATAAAAAAAACTCTGAAAGCCACTCGATTCAGTTCTGAGCAATTGACTTAAATATTGAGTAAGATCACCACAAACAGCATGGACAGCCTGATGGAACATGCTTAAAACTAGTGTGTAAATTAAGTCCTGAGTTACTTTTGATTGTTAATCTGGAAAAGAAGTTTACAATTGTGAAAAAAAGGAAATTATTAAGAGAATTAACTATAAATGGTAATTCTAAAACTGAGCAAGCTGAAATTGGTAGTGTGACCAAATTGGCCTAAAGAGCAAAAGCCTTTGTTTGCAGCAGCATACATCAAATAGTTAAACCTTTGTAAAGCACATGGGCTGGCGCTTTCAAACTCCATTTTCAAGTGGCATAAATGGATGAGAATGGTGGCCTCCTGGGTGGGATGACAGTACATTGCAACTGGTACCCATCTTACAGCTGGGTAGCCTGAAACTTGAAACCTTCCAACTACAAGTCCAAAATGTGAAGCCGCGCTGCCCCTACATCAAATAGTGTAGTGAAAAATGCTTGTATTCAGTCTTCTTTCAGAAAACCGACACAGTAAAATTATTTGAATTGTTATCAAACTTCTTGCAATATTTTATCCCATCTGCTATTCAAAATGAAGTACCACATTTACCAAGTATAGTTTCTAAGTATTTCTTCTGAAGTCGAACAAGTATAACTTACCAAGTATGGGCTGTAGGCAAAACTCCAAAAGTTGGAGCACAAACTAGATGAAACTTAGGATTGAGCTCTGCAAATCCACCTGGTGGTAACTGAGAACAGCCTGTTGTAAACTGAAGAAGTCGAGCCATTTCTTCTTCAGTGAAATTTGACACAGCAGTCCAAAACCAATCCAGCACCTTCATGAAGTAAAAATGGAGAAATAAAACTTTTCTTTCTGGATCCATCCAAGATTTTTATCACGCAGCACAGAAGAATTAAAAGATAATTGGAATCTATCAACCTATGTATGTACATATGTAAAGCAGAGTTGTCTGTTTGTCTGATTAGTGTCAACTTGTTGTGAGGAGTTGGTAGAGGTAGAGAAGCTCAAGTGGATTCCTCAAAGATAGGGTTTAAAAGTAACCTCCTCAACTTTACCAAATGAATACCACAAACTGAGTGAGGACAGTGGCAAAATACGTGAAGCCGATGCCAAATGAAAGTGACCTTTGTATCGGATTAATGTTTCATGCATACTTCTTGTTTCACAGCCTAACAAGAGATGTCTGATTTGAATAAACTTGAATGAGGAGGGTCATTCATATTATTTTGTCATAGCTATAACATTAGTTCTAAATATCCTTTGATTTTTGTTTTCTCCAAATCTAGTTTGAACAAAAATGTATCTTAATTTCAGCTATGATGCTAAGTTCTTGGTCTGATTAAAAAATGTTTGTCTTACTGTATGTTTACTTTAATATTCTAATTTACACAGATCCTGTACTTGAGTTTATTCTACACAAGTAGTCAATTTTAAAACTGGTTAAAAAAAAGGAACTTTCTTGAAAGATTTATGAATACAGGCCTCATATATTTTGACCACACTTATTATTATTATTACTAAAGACAGAAAGCACAATTATAACATTCTCCTTTTTAATCACTTCATAATTATTTATACTGAGAGAGAATGTGTGTTTTTGGTTAGTACAAATGTGTAGGAATTCTATCCTAAACCAAAAATGAAAAAGAAAACTTGACTAGAACAGGCTGTAAGGTTTTCAAAGTTTCTTTATCAACTAAAGGATGTAATCATCAGTGTAAACAAAATCAAACAATAAAACTTGAATGGTGTAACTGAATGGTTTTTGAAACAGAAATAAGTATTTGGTTACCATTTTTTACTGGCACAGCTACCAAGGCTATCTGTCATTGTTCCTAATTTTGAACTGCTGACCATGGAAGGCAACTCACTAGCAGCCAACTCTTGAGCTACACTTTACAAAGAATACTGGGATTGACTATCACATTATAACTACCCCACAGCTGAAAGGATGAGCAGATTTCAATCTCATGATACAAAGTTTGTAAGTTGAGTGCCCTAACCACCAGGACAAGAAATAAATAATCTTACTTAAAATGTTTGCAACCTTGGAACTAAATTTCATTATTTCATGGAGAGGAAAATTCCAATTATTTCTAATTCAAAGACATGTCTTTGAGCCTTACGTATTAAATTCAGACAAAGTATACACCCCTCAAAACTCATATATTTTGTCAATAATTTATAAATTACAAAAAAATACAGGAAAGTATGTTCAAGCACTGTTTGCATAAATTGCAAAAATATGTATATAAAAAACAGACTGTGTTTAACTGACTAAGCAAGATTTTTTAATCCAATAATAAGAAATATTAATTTAAAACAACTTTACCTTTCTGAATTCATAGGAGGAGCCTGTCATGGCATGGTTACCTTTAAAATCAGCAATACTGTAGTGGCCTGTTCCACACATCAACAACTGCAGAAAAACATTTTATCTTATTTTAAAAAATCAATATAAAAATTTCAAGGAAGTTGTTATAGTTGCTAACTGAAGTGTTATTTTAATATTCTACATGTAAATAACGACATAAGTATTTTAGATTGTTTGTTATGAATTTCGTGCAAAGCTACACGGGGGCTATCTGCGCTAGCCATCCCTAATTTAGCAGTGTAAGACTAGAGGGAAGGCAGCTAGTCATCACCACCCACCACCAACTCTTGGGCTACTCTTTAACCAACAAAGAGTGGGATTGACCATCACATTATAATGCCCCCATGGCTGAAAGGGCGAGCATATTTGGTGTGACGGGGATTCGAACCCGCAACCTGCAGATTGCGAGTCGAGCACCCTAACCATCTGGCCATGCCGAGCCAAGTATTTTAGATAACTTTTGTAAAACTTATTACAACTTAATAATACATTATTTGACTCCAAATAGTGAAAACTGTAAAATGATGTGAAACTTGAAAAAAATACTTATTTATTTTACTACATTCATAATATTGATTTAATAACAATAACTCTAACAGCAAAACCAAAATATACTTCTTGTTATAATGATCAGTTTCCTAAGTTACTAAACATCAAAGAATTTGTGATAAATAAAAAATAATTTCAGTAAAAAGCGACACCAGATTGAGAAGTATGAGTAAAGATCCTTACTCTGTTACAAGTCAGGTATATTTCAACGGTAATTTGGTATATATATGAAATATTTATTTCACTGTATACTTGTATATCCTAATTTAATCATAAAATTACACAATATAATGTGTAGCAGTTCGAGAACAAAAAACTACAGTAAATGTGACAAACTGACAGAAGTCTTGGTATCGAAAAAAAAAAGTTTTGATTGGTCAACAATCCTAGAGTCACAATGTAGGATTGTTGACCAGTTTTCCCGCCAGAAAACAATGCGAGACTGAAGAGGACACACGAATGTGTCAAAAATGTTTTTTTCTAATATCAAGACTTCTGGCTGTTTGTTCCATTTACTGTAGTTTTTTTTTATATTTAAACAGCCAAAGTTACACTGAAAAAAAACAACTTGAAAAGTGATGTTTTGTACACAATTTGTCTAGTAATTTAAGTTGGATGACATTTGGAATAATTTTTATGTTCCTTCTTCGGATCAATGTGGCAAGTTGTTTGTATAACTTCACTTTGAACATGTTTTATTACATTCTATTTCTGAAAATCTGAAGTCAGACAATGGGCTAGATGCACCAAGAAAGTGGCAAACAGTGACCACATTTATTAACCTCAAACTGTGTAATGCAACATGAGATAAAGAAATTTAACACCTTAAACCTGAATGGACACTATAAGCATCCAGCTGAAAGTCCCTATTTACCCAACGGACGGTGACAGCATCCAATAACGCTTGTCTCTTTGGCTGAAACTAATCTAAACCATGTTATTATCCACCTTTTATAAATAGACCAGAAGTTCCGTGAATCAGTCATTTATTTTGAAACAATTTTCAGATCAACAAGTTGTGTTTGAGACAACTTTTTTTTAGTGTCTTCTTGTGAAGTCTAACAATTTTTTTACATCAGTTGTAAAACAAAGATGGTGAGTGGAAAGAGGCCATTAAAAAATTTTACTGCTAAGCAAGCAACGAGATGAAGTTAGATGAAGGCGGGAGTGATGACGATGGTAATTCTGATCTTGATTTTGACTTTGGAAGAGACTAGTGATGAAAGTGATTCAGAACAGTCACTGAGACCCAATTCCAGTTCCTCTCAATCAACTGATCAGAAGGGGGCATTGCCCCAACCAGGACCCAGTGGTACATACAGGTCAGGAAAACAAGCCCCAGCTAGACCTGATCCACCTCCAAGATCTACATCCACTACCAGAGCCAGAGATAATGATTGGGCTGAGGTAGATCTTTAAGATAGGTCATCCACAAGTAATGACTAAGTTTTTTCTGAAGGTTTGAGGCTATTTACTCAACAATGCTTCATGTGGGTATCCCTGATGCTGAAGAGAAAAACAAAATTAAGAAAATTGAAATTTTATAACGTATGGTGATAATAATTAGAACATCATAACAATAATTCTGGCAGAATGCAAAAAACATTATGGGTTTAAAGAGTTAATCAGTAAAAACAATGTTACGTGACAGATCTCACCTCAAGCTCATACTCATCAAAGATACTCAGCAAGTTGTCCGGGATCAGTTCATTAAGACCTTTCAGAAATGCTTCTACTTCTTCCTTCACATTATTTGCTAGTCTATACTGAGCAAGAGCATCCAAGTACTTCAATTTGTTTTGACTTGTGACTTGGATCCGAGAACCACCGGGTATCAGTTCCACTACCTGTCAAAAGCCAGAGAAATCACTATTATGTTATAAATAATAATTTTTAGATTCAGCTGTAGGTACACCTTGAAATAAGTATTTTATCTCATAACCTGAAAATGGGTTATGTAGAAAATAGATGTGATGATGTGGCAGGTTAAGATGTAGGTTTATCAGGCTTCCTCTCCTAACAGTGTAATATGAACAAAGTAGCTTTAAAAAATTAATTTTTGATGCAGTTAAATACTTTTTTTGGATAAATGATAACTTATTTTATATTACATACTATAGAAGGCATTGTATTTTAATAGCTTTGACCCCATTTAATTTGTATAATAAAAACCAAGGAAAAATCCCAACACAGAAACATTTTTATATCAACTGTCTTTTTAGATTTTACAACTGAAGATTTCATGGCCCCTCCCAAACATTTTCACTCAATCATGTGCTGTCAAAACACTAATGTCTCAATAATCTGATTAGCACATAACGTTTATACTTTGGTCAATCACAAGACGAATGAGGAAGCCCAATCAAAAACAAACTTCAGTATATTTCAGCCCAATATTCAGTCTGAATATCTTCTTAATGGTAAATCTCATAAAGTGAGTTTACAAACTTATTTCAGGTGGCATAACTTAAAAAAGGCTTCTCACTAGAAAATTAGGATGTGAATGCAGTTTATTTTGCTTTGTTATTCTGGTAAATTAAAGAAAAACAATCTGAAATAATTAAACCTCAAATCAACTTCCTATAGTGTTAGTACAAATGGTTTACAGAAATCTGTAGAATATGATTGACAATACAGTAGCAGAACAAATTTTCTATTTAAAACTAAGTAAAATGGAAATGTAGGCTTGTCAATAGGTTGTTAGTACAAATGGTCTATAAAAACTTGTAGAATACTGATGTACGGTTAAAATATTGATCTTATTTTGAGTATGAATTCACAAAAGTCAAGTAAATTGTCTGTACACATAATGCTTCATATATATATAACAGTAAGTGTGCTGTTGCAAATTAATTTAATAAATTAATATTGAATCATGACTGGATAGACAAACCAACAGATATTTAATATTTTTTATTTCAAGCCTGATAACGTTTATAAACTTGGATGACTTTAAAAATTTGACCGTATAGTTGTTATTTATAGTCATGTTTATAGTTGATGAAACATGGGTTACTTTTTTATGAGCGAAATACATTCAAATTCAAAGTTAAACTAATAATGTTTGACTCAAAAGCAACAATCCATTCATAATTGTTTTTGATAACCTTAGTGTAATCTGAATGATCTTTATTGACTTATTGCAAGACTTGCATACACTCTTAAACAACATGTCAACAGCCAGAAAAACAGTATCACATTATATATATAATTATTCTTAGACCCAGGACAGCTAGAAACGTCATGTTATCAGCTACAGAAATCAATGCCATGTTATAAATGTTTATAGGTGTCATATCAGTCTTTTTTACTTCTGTTTTTAAAAAAAATTCTGTGCACAAGTTTATTAATTGGCAGTTTTAATTTTTTTTTTTCCACACAAGATGTAATATATGCAGTGCTTGAAGTGAGGAGGAATACCATCCCACTTCCTTTCAGGGGGACCTGCTACCTTTTAATAGACTTGAAAAAACCCCTGGTACATTTACAGTTGCCTAGGGTACCTTACCTTCTCTTTCTTCTCCCAGTACAGGTGGCAAGATATGACACAAAGTGACAATGAAGCACACTTAGTTAATAAACTATACAAAATTCAGAGTGGCTATTTCATGTTGATACATGTTGGCCTAATTTAAAGTTATACACAAACAAATTAGGCTACCTTTTCTTTTTCAAAATTCAAGAACTTCACTAATCATCCCACCAATTTTTTTAAAAATTTCACAAACCACTCCTCTTCCTCTCCCCCCCCCTAGTTCAAGCACTGACTGTATATATTATTTATAAAATCATTATCAGACTTGCAGGAAATAAGAATAATGAAACAATGTTAACTTTACCTTCACTAATTGTCCATTATTATCGTATTCTTCCTCAGTAAAAGTAAGTTCCATATCTTCTACATCATTCTCCAAAATATAACGAATCTTGGAGACGTAAAGGTCAGGATCATCTTGCTCAAAGTACTGATAATTTAGTAATAAAGAAAATTACCAATAAATGTTAAACCTTTTTAATAAGATGTTTTTGAAGCTCATTTTTTATTTGTTGAAGTATTACAAAAAAATGAACAATCATACATTGTTTTTTTTAACTGTAAACATTACTGTTTATAATGCTTCATATTACTCTTTAAAGCCAAAATTTAACATACCTTATAATGGACTCGTAGGCCAATTAACTGAGCCAGGAATGAACGAGAAAACCGAGCTTTTACTAGCTGCCGGTATGTACTACCCAAAGCAGACTCGTAAAGACACTTGCCCACAATTTTGCCAGCAAATTCATAGTGCTTTAGTTTTAAAAACAAAGGTCTCCAAGGATTAGGATGAGCCTAAAGAAAATCAATTCACTTAATTTGTACTCTATATACACAGAAGTATAATCTTTCAAAACTTCAGAAGCAGAAGTGTTTGATTTTTATATATTATAGTTTGCTAAAAATTCTCAGTTTTTTTTATTACAAAAATTCAAGAAATAAAGATAACTTTGACTACATGTGTTTATATATAAGTTTGACTACAAGGAATATATTTTTATCACAAGAAAATCCTTCCTAACAAAACAAGTAGGTAGTACAAAGCTTGAGGTTTATGAGCAGAAAGTAAATAATAATTATCTTACCAAACCTTGTTTATCATTCTTAAACCTATGGAACAGAAGGTTTTCTGGATCAAACAATGCTTCACAAACTAACTCAAACCATTCTCTTCTCAGACCACCCCAATCTACTCCTACAGAAAGAAATAAAAAAATGCTATTTCACAGTACTGTGAGTGTTCAAATATTAGCACTGCTAAGGGATCAAACAGCATTTATTTCAAAAGAAAACCTACCATTACTGAGGGTTGTTACAAATGGAGTTATGTCAAACTGGATTAATGTCACAAGTGGGATACTTCAGGGCTCAGTCTTAGGACATTTGTTCTTTTTGATTTACATCAATGACATAGATGAAGGAATGGTCAATAAGTTATATAAATTTCCTGATGATATTAAGGTCTTGGGTGTTGCTCGCTGTGAAGAGGATGCTGGTGATTTACAAAAGGATTTAGATCATTTAGTGAGTTGGGCAAATAAATTGCAGATGGGTATTAATTATAATAAATGCAAGATAATGCATGTGGGTTATCATAATTTGAATTACAAGTATTAGGTCGTCAAGAAATTAATGTCGTTTTTTTTTAGATGAAAAAACTCGAACTTATATATCAAAACAAAACATTTATAAAATCAAATAGTCTCTATTCTTATCAATGATGCTTTTCCATCTTACAATCAGGCTGTTAATGCCCTGATCGAAGAAATCACTCGGCTTTGAAGCAAAAAACATGTTCATGTCCTCTTTAACACCTTCCACATTTGCATACGTTTTTCCATTAAGATGGTGTTGCAGCAAATGAAAAAGATGGTAATCTGATGGTGACATATCTAGAGAATATGGTGGGTGGGGGAGAACTTCCCAGCTCCATAATCTTGTGTTGCGTCAAACATGCCACATGTGGACGTGCATTGTCGTGGAAAAGAACACCACCTTTCTGATTGACAAATGACGGGCGTTTCTGATGAAGGGCTTGACTTAAACATTCCAGTTGCTGACTATAGCTCTCTGCATTGACAGTCGCTGTAGATTGAGCAGTTTGAAATGAATTACTCCTTTGATGTCCCACCAAATACAAAGCATCACTTTCTGCGGATGGAGTCCAGGTTTTGGGGTCTGAAGTGGTTTTGTCTAGGATTGAGCCATTCTGTCCAAAAATGGATCATGCGCATTATGCACCAGAAGAGATAAAGCAACATTCACACATTGAAAACGATGATCAATGGAGAGTTCATGAAGCACCCAAACACCTTCTTTATGGAGTTTTCCATATTCCTTAGATGTTTATGTATTGTTTCCTGAGAGACATGCAATTACAGGGCCATTTCATGAGTATGTTGCCTTGGGTTAGACTCAACAAGCGACTTCAGAGCATCAATATCAATTCCAACACGTCAGCTCCTGCCATCACAGTTTTTAAGGCTAAAGTCACCTGTTTCCCTTCTTGTGTTCAAACAGCATTACATGCCGATTGTGTGTCTCGTCGTGTGCCATCACTATAAGGGATTACAGTATACTAAACTTTACACATTATATATATGCTACAATTAGGTGGTTCATTTAACTATTATACATGATGTACATTTTTTGGGAGGTGTTCCAAAATGCGACCTTAATTTCTTGACGAACTAATATAATTTGGATGGGAATAACCTTAACAGTGTTATGAAGGAAAGGGATGTTGGTGTAATAGTCGATCAGTCTCTAGCCATTCAACCAGTGTGCAGTTGCTAGTGGTAGGGCAAATAGGATTTTAGGTTGTATTTACAGAAATATTGAATCCAAGTCTAAAAAGATTATAATTTCATTGCAGGTCATTGGTTAGGACACATTTGGAATATTGTGTTCAGTCTTGGGCTCCTTACTTTATGAAAAACATTGAATTGTTGGAAAGGGTTCAGAGAAGGGTTACTAGAATGGTGTCATACAACCAGAGGCTGAAGTCTCTCAAATTGTTTTGTCTTGAAAAAAAGAAGAGTTAAGGGTGGGATCTGATTGATACAGTTAAGATTGTAAAGGGAATTGATAGTGTTCATGCATCATCTTTTTTCATACTTAACAGTGAGAATAGTAGGACTAGGGAACACAAATATAGATTTTGACTAGGTAGGAGTCTTCTTCAGCTAAGACAGTTTCATTTTTTCTAACAGGGTGGATGGTCTTTGGAATGGGTTGCCTTCAGATTTTGTAGAGGCAGTAAATTTAACCGAGTTTAAGAGAAAGCTTCATAAGCATATGAATAATAAGGGCTGGCTTTGACATTTTTTAAAAATTATTTTAATTTAGTTTAAAGGATGCAACAGCCGAGATGAACCAATAGGTCCCATGTTGTCCCAAAACATTATGTTCTGTTATATATTTATTATTTTATTGACCGTTCAGCCGTGTCTGACTAACATTACAGAAGTTGCACACAGGCATGTGTAGCTTTATTTTACCAAATACAACAGTATAAAACTTTACAAAGTGCAACTGTCTTAGCTTTGTTCTAATTGACCAGTATTTTGTAGAACACAATCACATTTTACTTGTAATACAAGACATATATATATATATATATATATATATATTATTACTACTTACAGATCAATTCTTAAATTTCAGTTATTTTTCTTGAAACATAGACCAGAGAATAAAGAAATATAGAAAACAATGATCTCTTCTACTTGTGGACTTTGTACCCACTTGCCGTAATTTGATAAGCCTTGTCAAATTTTGCATGAGGTATATGGAAAACAAAATAATTTTTTTAGGTTTTATGTATGCATTTTGAAATAACAAAAAATCATAAATTATTATATCAATATAGTATCCCACTGTAATTAATCAGGCTTAGTAACTAAGTTGTATTTGGATCTAAAAAAATATTGTTTTTCGAGAACCATTCCTTCTCTATATCAATATTTAGGATTTTTTTTAATATTTACTG